TATTAACACTAGTTTGTATGGCTTACAGATATCCTGTTTGACTTAAAAATAACACCTTAAATTGTCTTACTTCGCTAAATTATATCTTTTCTATTATATTTAATATTTCTTTGTTAAATATTATATATTTATAAAATTAAATTAATATTAACTATTGTCTTGAAAGCCTGGGTAGCCTAAAGCGATTGAAAACCCTAGCAGCTCGTTGATGCACAAATATTGTCTTCAACCAATCCGGCCTATAATAAGGACCTATACAAAAACGAATCTCCTTAGCTGCCTTGTCAAATGGAAGACCCATCAGATCAATAGCTAGTCTAATAGCATCACTATTAGTGAAGCCTTCTTGAGGGTCAATCGACTCACCCCTAATTGGTATGTGAATAAGGCATGAAACATAATCCAAATTAATGGTCATCTCGCCAAATGGCATATGAAATGACGATATTTTCCAATGCCACCTCTCTACGAAGGCCGATAGCAGATTTTGGTCTATCCTCGACAAACTGATTCTCTGGAGAGAGGATAGACCAGAGTCAGTCAACCAAGTTTATATCAGATGTGGGAGCATGAGTGGAACTCATCTTATCAATTTGCTGCCATGTGCAGCAACCTTTAACTTTTTCTTCGGTTGTCTCTCCTAAAAACAATTTATAGAATAAATGTTATAAAATATATAAGTACATACAAATAAAAATTATTCAAGATAACATGATAGATATTAACTTACCTCGACGAACCATAAATGGCAAGCAATGTGACCCTCATACCTCACCAGAAGAGACGTATCAGCCGGTTCTCCAAGGAACACTGGCTAGAATGGACTCGCCCCAGGCTGCTGATGTCCCTCTCTATCGTCTACCTCCTGTCGGCGTTGTCATTCTTCAACCATTCGCCGCATACTATTGTCGCTCGAGCCTTCACTTCTGGGAACCACTGAAAATAAATAAAAAAAATTAAATTACAATAAATAGAATCGGATAACGCATTAACGTGTTATCCGAACTAATGAAACAAGAACCAGATAACAAGGCTAGACATTATCAGGTTGGAAATTATGAAAACCAGAGAATCCACGCCTGTGTTATCCGGGTTATTTTATTTTATTTCGTGTAAACCGGAGTACTTAATAATGGATTATTTTGAGTGTTAAGATGTAAACCAGATTTGAGACACTCGCGTCCTCTAATTTATGTTTTCAGAGAGTTTTGGATAGTGTTTTGTTGTGTTCTCTGACTGTTGCTCTCTCGGTCTTTTGAAGTGAAATAAGGAAAAAGTGAAATTTTTTAATGTGTAATTATTTATACAAGGGTATTTTCATCTAAAAATTTTGTAAGGGTATGGGATAACTCCAGGGATACAATATAAAATTTTCTAAAAGAACTTACTTCAATCACACAATCGGTTTACACATACTTCAAGAACACACAAAATTATCAATAATGGTGAATTTATGGGAAAATCTAAAGGATGGTGAAAATTCATCTCTACCGTTCATGCATTCTAACACTCATATAATTAAAGTAATTCTCCTATTTTACCAATACTCATTAAAATTCATAACTCACTCTTACCTTAGATTTTTTTCAACCATTCTTCAAGCCTCCAATACAGTTTCTCTTATGCTTTATCTCTCCAAACTTGTTTTTACGCAGTCAAAAATCCAACTTCTCCCAATTCTCCTTTTTATTTTACTTTTAGTCTTTCTAATTATGTTTTTCCACTTCTACCATCACTTACTCCTCTATTATGTCCTCATTATTCTCTCAAATGTCAATCTTACCCCTTATTTCTCTACACGCCTTATTTTCATTATTATTTAAATATTCTAATATATTTACCTAATTAAATCAATATTCTTATTATTTAACCACTAAAAATAGCTCTAAATAATTCTACTAATTTCTACGCCACATATTTATTTTAATTATAAACCATCCAACTACAACTTATTTAATCTAAATAATTTCTAAGTTAACTTCTACACCTACTAACAACCCAACAACACATCAACATAAAATCATAAAATATTCACAATAAATCATAAAAACACCAATTCTAAATTTGGGACGTTACATTTCTCATTGTCATCAACAACGCCACCAATAACAACAACAAAAATAAAATCAATAGAATCCTTAAATATTAAATCTCAACAACAAAAACCACAACAACAACAACAAATCCATGAAATCTTTAAACATTAAATCTCAACAACAACAACAACAACAATAATAAATATACAAAATCAATATAATCGTTAAATACTAAATTTCAACATTACCTGATACAACTAAAACTAACATTAAACATTTTAACAACGAATTACTAGAGAAAAAATTACATTAAGAAACCAACCTTGAAATTTTTTTCTGCTCATGCTTTCATTATCATTATTTTTAATATCGTAAGTTTTTTCAACACTTTGCATCCGAGATGGATAGTAGTGGCATTCATGTTTTAATTGGTTAGTGAGAATTTCACGCAGATCATTAATATTTCATGTGGATTGATGAGTTGATAATGTCTTAACCATTGTTACTTTATAAATAGACAACAAAGATTCATTACTTGATTTTTTCATCAAATTAGTTATAAAAAATATATATACTACTTTACCGCTCGGTTTTCAACAAAACCGAGGTAATAAGTCATAAAAAAATTTAATATTAAAATGTGATAAATGTAGTTGTTGAGATTCGAAGACGAGCTACTTTATCCCTCAATTTTCAGCAAAATCGAGGTAATAGGTTATAAAAAAAACTAAAGGGTGATAAAACATAATTGTTGGGATTCGAAAATGTGTCCTCTAAATATTTACCCATCGATTTTCAACAAATTTGAGGTAATAAGTCATACAAAAAATTCAAAAAAAAATTAAAAGGTGTTAAAATATAATTGGGATTCAAAGGTGCGTCCTTGCGTGTGGCGTTTGTGCGGATGTGTGTGCATGCATGTGTATGTGTGAGTGGTTAAGGGATACGGTGCATACTAAGATACTCACACTCGCATCCATATTTGCCTATTTTAGAGTAACTATTCAAGTTCGTATTTGTATTCATTTTGCAGGTTTTTATCCTATTTGTTGTGGGTGTTTTTGCAGGTACCCACTAGAGATGGATCAAATTATCATCTATAAAGTACAATTTTTCGTTCTAACTTTCAAATGAGTCGTCATGACATGGTTCAAGTCTCTGAAGTAGAGTCGTCAAAATTAACTAATCCATAAAGACTGGCTCACCAATTCCTATAAAACATAGGACTTGAGTTTAAAAAATATGTTATCTATTAACACTAGTTTGTATGGCTTACAGATATCCTGTTTGACTTAAAAATAACACCTTAAATTGTCTTACTTCGCTAAATTATATCTTTTCTATTATATTTAATATTTCTTTGTTAAATATTATATATTTATAAAATTAAATTAATATTAACTATTTCTTATTTTAATTAAGAATTTTTTGGTATTCTATTCGTTTATGTTATGCTAGATATTTTTATGTATTATTTTGAGCACTTTTATATTTATATTGTATTAAAAAAAACGTATTATAATATTTTTAAAATAATATATTACATAATAATAATTATATCTAAAGTACATGATCTTTATATTATATTATAATCAATATTTTAAGAATTTGTATTTTATTTTTTAAAATTAATAATAAATAAATAATTTGTTTAAGGTCGGGTAACATGTAATCCCTCTAAAGTCGGACTCGGGTAATATATTATTGTAATATAATTTTTTAACTCGATCCTATAAAGTCTGAGATCTCCAACTCGTTTATGAATCCACCTCCCATTTTGAGAATTTACCTCACCTTAACCTAAGATGGTGGACGTGCACTAGATGAAAAAGGAGACCCTCAAGGAGTATATTGAAAATTTTATTAAAGAAGTAACACAAATCAGATAAGCTGATGACAAATTAAAATGTTAGATTTTGTGAGGTCAGACTACATGTTTAGGGGGATGTTGGGGTTGAAAGAACCAGGAAGCATGGGCGACTACTTAGGATCAATCAATCATAGAGTTTAGATAGAAGGAAATGGTCGAAATCTATATTTTTGACCTCTCAAATTTGCTCAATTTGATACTCCAACGCTATTGAATGTCTGTTAACTGTCATAAGTAGATCTCCGCCAAATATTAGTTTCACCCTTTGTCGTCTAGGTCACTCACTGGAGTGGCGTGGTGCTAAGTTTTATTCAACTTGTAGCTAAAATTCATAATTCGACTTGTAGCTAAAATTAATCATTCGATGGAGGGACATGGATGGTTTAAATTGTCGGTGGTGGTTGGTTAGGGTCCTCCCGGCGCGAGGAGGATGTAAGAGTCCATCTTTGAGATTGTAATTTCTTCTTACAACCTCTGCTAGTAATAGACTGACAGCAAATGAAATTGTGTTATTCTTTTTCCTCAGGTAGTGCAATAGATAACTATGAAATACATATACACACGCACAACAACTTGAAAGTAAAGTGGGTTGATTAAATTGCTACATCTAGATCACAAAGACATTCGCAAAAGACACGGACAGTGCTTGATATCATTTAGAAAAAATCATCAAGGCAGCTTTGAAAAAATCACACTATTACCTGTCAGTCGCTGATATCAAATAGGCAAAATGAGGGATGGATAAATGTTTCATGACCAACCTAAATCCATTTTATTAAACTCAAAATCATGTCATTTCTAAACAATTTACCAAATAAAAATTATGGTTGAAATCCAAATCTATCAAAACTAAGACCCAGTATTTGCCCCCCTCTTAAAAATTAAAAAAAATTGCAATCATTAGTTGTATGATTAGCATTATTACAAATTACAAAATATAATACAAACTTGATCGGCAAAACACCACTTGCTTTTACATCATCGCTATTGCCAAATTTGTTTGTGACCCCATTGGAGCGAATCCGGAAATTCAAATTTCATGATAATCACACTGATAATTTGAAAGCTTGATATGGTCTTTGATTTTCATGTTACTACTCCCCAACCCTCCGCTTCTTTAACATCCTTTGCCTCCGCGCTCTTTCTTCCTCCTCAATCAACCTAAGTTGCTCCTCGTCCTCCTTTTTAGCAATTAAAGAACTGCAACACACAATCATCAGCATAACAAAATATTATATTTTTGTTTTATTGTAAAACATTACGGATTTTTTAGCAAATATATTTCTTATTATTGACTTAGCTAGAAACATGTTACTTTGTTTTAGATTAATGTATGTTTTGAAAAATTAATACAAACCATGAAAATCAATATTTTAAAATCTTTTAAAATAAAAAACAAGGTGAAATTTTGCATTACTAAAAACAAAAATGAAGAACATTCTCTAAAACCAAACTTACACATCCAAGATATGAAAATACAAGTAAAGGACATAATAAGCATTTATGAAGCAATCAATGACTTCAGGAAAATGAAAGAAGTCTTACACAGCAGCTTTTGATTATAATCCTCCTGACAATAAATGCTACTAACACACTTTCTAACACTATCTTTTGTTCACTAGAAAAAAGTGTATTCAGAAGTGTGTTTGTTTGTTTGATAGAGTGTGAAGCTAGCACTCCTCTTTACCTAATTACTACTAAACAAAGAAAGTGTGGAATGTACTCTGTTTCCTCAGTGCATGAACTGCATAGCAAGATTTTATATGAAGGATTTCAAGTATTATAGAAAGAATTATTTGTAACAATCAGCAGACTTTGTAATCTGCAGTGTTATCAAATATCCGCCATGGCGGATATATATGGCGGTTTTTGGACTCGCCGCAATGGTAAATATCAGCCGATATTCCAGGTTTTTCCGCCATAATACGTTATAACGGCACCGCAAAGCGATGAGAGAAAGGTTTTTATTATCAAGTAAATTTCATGTTCTAAATAAAAAAGCAAAAATATTATTGAAAGAACTAAATAAATACTTTAGATTAAGCTTTAGAGAAACCAACCTCCTCTTTTCCTCCCGCACAATTTCATCAAAGCCTGCCTCCATATTATCGACGTCATCATCATCGACAAATCTGCTGGGGTTGTAACTGCAAATAATCCAACATAAGTATAAATATGAAGTAAAATAAATATATGTATTATGAGGAAGATTTCGGTTATTAAAACAAGTCTCGCTCATTGGAAACTTTTCAATTATCAGTAAACTAAACAAAAATCAAGCACCAACACTACAAAAAAGGAAGCTTAAATCATAGAAAACTTACTTAAACATGGATCTGATCATTCTGCTAACATCCACGTCATCCTCAGGCTCTTCAAGGCGACGTTTCAGAGGTTTACTCTTGGGGCGCTGATCATGCAAATCAGGACGCTTAGGAATTTGTTTAAGTGGGGGTTTACTGACCTGTCAGTCAAGCAATTAAACAACCAAAAGTGATAAGGAGAAGAGAATCAAATTTATGAGTTCCATAACGTGTGCGCACATATGTGTATCGCTGTATACCTGAGCTCTTGATGACGCTACTGGTGGTCTCGGTGGCGGTCTCGGTAATATTTTGGACTTATGCAGTTCTCGTACATCTTTTCTTTGGTCCAGACTATGCTTTGGAACAGATGACACACCCTTTGGTGGGGGTTGCTTCTGCACACCGTTCACAGGATTTCTCATGCCAGGTTTGACCGATTTACTCCCCATGGTATTAACAGGCATCTTTGAAGGCAGGCCTTTTGACCCCATTGGTCGGCCTGGTCCATTCCCACTGTTGCTACCAAGCTGTTTTCTAGAATCTACTGACGCCTTACTGGCCTGGCTGGAAGAACTCAACTTATAATTGGATTGCGGTTTAGGAGCCAAATGACTAGCCCCCGCAACTGGTCTCCGATTATCACCGGTACTACGAACCAGTTTGCCACCATTGCTCAAAGGATGTTTACTCTTACCAGGAACTTGAGCTGCTTGTCCCACTTTAACATCAGCAAAAACCCTGTATAAGTTTCCTTAATCACAGTAAAATATGTTCAAACCCCCCACAACTAAACACCACACAACACATCCAAACAACATACCTGAACCGCGCACAGATGTATTCCTAGATGGAGGCTCTTTTGATGGACCAGGAATATCCGCGTCATCGGACAAAAGAAATGAGTAATCTCTGGTAACCTTGAGTTTCTCAGCTTTAACTAGCTTCTGCTTAACCATAACAGATCATCATATTAGAAAATAGTAACTAGAGTTACAAAGGAAAATGAATACAAAAGCAGCTACAATACCTCATTGATTCTGGGCGGCTGCTTATGAGCTGAAGACTTTGATACACCGTTAGAAACTTTATTTGTACCTCTATTCTGTAGAGGGGAGTATTATGAGAAAGTTGCATAAGTACTGGATAGCAAAAACAAGCAATGGGAATTGCATATCACAACTCAAAATGAAGATTGACGAAATCACAAGGGACTTGATAAAACAGTATTAAAAGGAATGTGGAAAAGAAAAGGTGTTGAATACATACAATTTGAGGTGAGTTAGAAGGCTTGGGCACCAAATGACGATTTTCTAACAAGGATTTGCTCTCTTGGATTACTCGCTGGGCAATAACTGGTTGAGATGGGCCAAAAAAGGATCCATAACTGCAACAACAAATGACGATTGAAAACAAATATTTCAAAATTACTCCTCTTGGCATATTTCACATATTGTATGTGATATGCAAAAACAAATCATATCAATGAAGAGCACAAAACAGGCATTGTTAATAGTTACACAAGCAAGACAGTAAAGAAAAGTGTAGCCTCAAAATTCCGATTACTATCATTACAATAAACATGTCACAGAACTATGACAAATTTAAAAATACAATCTCAGTTAAAACAATAAAAAGAAAAAGGACATAATAGGGTAGCACTAAATCTATGGGGATAATTAGATATAGAGAAAGCATGCAAAGGATAATTAGATATAGAGAAAGCATGCAAAGTGTAATTAGACATAAAGAAAGCATGCAATGGATAATAAGATATAGAAAAAGGAAGCCTCCAAAAGTGAAGCAAATAAGAAAATGAGTTTATATTCCTGAAACAATTGACTTTATACAAATTGCAATGCAAAAAAAAAAGAAACATCGTAAATTCACTGCTGCCATGCCCCTAAGGCAATGGCATCGGGTAGTAGGCAGAACAAACAACATTGGAAAAATTCACCATGGTATGAAACATGCACTTAACTAACAAAAGACCGGAATAAAATTGCATTGGGTGCACTCCTAAACCAGATACCTATTCTCTGATTATTTTTGGAGTTTAGTCTCATCAAAATATTCATGCTAAAAAATCTTCAAGCTTATAGTATATGTCCATATGCCTATGGTTAAAAACAATTGTAATACTCACTTATCATAATGAACTTGCTTCCTTCTACCACTGGAATCTGCAAGAGAAATACTATTCTCCTTCTTCATCTTTTTTCTAATTGATTCTTTCAACTTCTTCCTCAACTCAAGGTAATCCAGTTCTTCCGGAGTAGGCTTCCGAGGTTCTTCCTCCACATATTCTTCACCTTCCTCGTCTTCATATCCCTCCTCTTCTTCATCCTCATAATCATCATATTCTTCATATTCCTGAACACAAAAAGCAAATTCAATTCAGAAACAAAACAATGCTAAAAAATCAAGAACAGTAATTGAAATCTCAAATTTCAATCCTTGAAGATGAAAATACTTACATCTCCCTCATAGCCACCCCGCATTGAGGTTCCAATCATAACTAGCGAATCAAATCAACTGTTAAAAACAGTCAGAAATTTACTCAGAATCCAATCTAATCAACAAAATTATCTTAATTCAAACCTGAATTTCTCAAATACAGTAACTGACAGTGTTAAAAAAACTGAATCACACCAAAAAAAAAACCCAGAAACAAAAAAGTACGAACATTATCTGAAAAGTACTTAAATTAGGGTTTTTGAAATCTACGCTTAATTTTCCCCCAAATTGCTACACACACCAAGATGATCACCGTATGTAATTGAATTGAAACCTCTCATAGCAAGAATCAATGAAGAATAACAAGTATACGATTAAAAAAAACCGAATCCAATGGGAATTTGGGGAAAATCGTAAAAAATCGTAAAAAATCGAAAAAGAACGAGAAAGGGTAAAAGATGAGAATAATAGAAATTGAAACGATTGGTGAAAAAAGCGTTAGAAGGAGAAGAGAAGGAATTGAAATTGAGGAAGACAGTACCTGAATTGATGAATGGTGAAGTGAAATGAGCAGCGATGGAATGAAATCGTGGATTAGGGCAGAAAGCGAAAAAGGGGAGAGAAAATTGGGAAGGGGGAAGTGATTTTATAATTTGTTTGTTCCAGAATTTTCCATAGACCCTCTTCCCCCCTCGGAAGATTTTAATTACAAATCCGACAAAAATATAATAATTGTTACAAGTGTACTTGGGCCCTTACATGTTCATTATCCAGCCCAAGTCTACTTAATCTTTATTTGGGTTTTTTTAATGTGTGAAAAAAATTATATACAATTTTTAAAATATTTTAATTTTTGAAGATCTATCTTCGAGCGCACTTTTTTTGTTTAACGTTAGTTTATTTTAGAGATATATTTTTGTAAAATATTTGAAGATGTATCTTTGTATTTTATACAAACAGTAATTACAGATTATTGTTAAATACTTCTCATATCAAATAGTTAGAAAGTATTGTAAGATTCGACAATATTAAAGATATGAATAAAATGAAATATATAAAGTTATAAGTCAAGATTACATAAATTCAATCTAAAAGTTACACTAAATTCGATAAACAAAATACAATGTATCAAAAGTACAAATACAATAATCTACTGCATATGATGAACTCGGAGTCGGCCTCGCCCACGTGTCCCTCTGTTCCTACGCTGCCTCTTGTACTGCATAGCCTATCGAGCCTCTTTCATCATGGCATATACAACACCTCTCGTCTCAGAGTTATTCAAAAATATTTTCCATCAACACCCACATGTCCAATTTGTATGATAGACGACACCTAGACAAGACATCAACACAATGATTTGTCTTAGTCTGCTCCTCCTCTAGTATCTCCTGATCAGTTGGCCTAGGTGGATCTCCTGTAACATCATGTACCATATAAGGATGTGACACCCGGAAGAGCCATCGAACGTAACAGTTTACGTAGCTCCAATCGTTCTCAACTATGGTACTTTGTGCCTCATCTGATACCAAACGATTAATATAATAATCAAAGATAACATCTATTTCTCTATGTTTCACAGTGGGAGGAGAAAACACAAAAGGATCTTTGGGAATATACTTCATGTATCTGAACTTACGCATGACGCGCTCAAGTATATGAAAAGTTGTCAAACGTGACCCGCAAGCCAACAATCACGAGTATAAGACAATGTCATCAAAGAGAATCATCTTACGGTGATTGACATAGTAATAAAAGTGTATATCCCTTGTTATTAAGCGGTTAATATACACTATGAACGACTTTATCTCCTGGTTCCCTCTAAATGGGGAGAATGCAGAAGCATGTGACTTATCCTTAATATTAGTCGGCTCAAGTGACCAACCGAAGATGCGTGGGAAATGTTGGAGGATCAAAACATGAAAACACAAATCATTAGTTAGTAACAGTTTTGCAATGATGAACAAAATGGCACACAAGTAATAGAAGACAAAGAAATGTTACCGTCAAAAGTGTGATATTTCATGTCACATGCTTCATCTTCCACATACAACTTTCAGATGACTTAGAGTACAAGTAGACCAAACAAGCGGGCCCTTAGTTGTACTCATGGATCTACTCAAATTCCTTAAAGTATCGCAGGTATATGACATCCACATAAGTGGCACTCTTGTCCACAAAAATGGTAGAGCCAATCAAATACAACATGTTTGCTCTCATGTCATACCATATATGCACACATACCTACTAGTTATCAGCAACAAGTTGTCGTGATCTCGCTATCTCATCGTCAAACACCTTCTAAAAATAGTTAAACCTAGCAAGAGCCCCACGAGTGAAGTCATGCTCCTCAATGGCATCTTCTCGGTCAACTCCTAGATAGTCCACCATCAACTTCATTATCTCTTCTTTGTTACACCACCCATAATCTAAAAGTCTCCCCCTAACTGAAAGGTGTAGTAGACACGAGACATCGTCTAGCGTGATAGACATTTTACCATGTGGTAGATGAAATAATGACGCCTTCATGTGACATCTCTCCACAAATGCGTTAAGCATACTGTGGTTAAGTCGAATCCCTGTTAGCTGCAAAACTTCCTGAAATCATAGCTCATTGAGCTCTTTTAAGAGAATGATCTTTCGCATATGGTTGATGAATTTTAGCGGATCACGTTCTTGCATACATGATTTAATAAGAACGATTCAAATAAATAAAAGTTAATAATAAAATAAACTCATATTTAAATGAATAATTCTAACTAAATTTTATTTTTTCGTCTCAAATATACATGACAACATAGTTCAGGCATCAGTGATAAGTCTGGCCGACCTCAATCGATAAATTTGTTTTTATTGTAAAAGTGATTTAATAATAAGAAGAAGAAAAAAACCATGTATAATATTTTTAATTTTTTTTTAACATTAATAAATTATTAATCATAATTGTAATGATGAACTAACACTAAAGAAAGCCAATTATAACAATTTTTATAAAGAATGGTTTTCCTCCCACTATATTGCAAATTGTCATAGAGTAGAGAGTAGTTTAGTTTCAATAGAGACAAGTGGAGAGCATTCTCAATCTTTAATAGTTTACTCAAATATTTTAGTTTAATTAAGAAACCTAATAAATTTATCTTTCTTAAATTGTTTTTTTATGGTCAAATGAAAGATAAATGTTATGTCACAAAGGGGCATGGATTTTCACTAGTGTCAAGTTCAATGGATTTTCCTATGTGTATATTATTTCTGTTAATTTTTTCTTCTTTTTTATATATTTTAAAAACTCTTTTTTTTTTAAAGATTTAGCAATATGAGTCAAATAATTATAGATATAAATTAATGTTTAGACAATTCAAAGTATAAACGATAGTATTAAACCTTTTTTTATTCACTCAATTGACAAATAGAATTGATTCACTTCATCACTTTTGTAAATCTTCATTAATATTGAATTTTTTATGAAAAAATATTTACTAATACAATTGTTCATTGAATAGAGATTTGTCTAGTTAATTTTTTTTCCGTAAAAACTATTAAAAACATTGCTTTCAAAACTTATATATCTCTTTTCTAAATTCAAATTAAAAAAATAAATAAATAGCATTTGAATTTGTGTGCATTGGTCAAAACTAAAAGTGGTAAAATAGATTGTCTATTTCGTTTAGATCTATCTCGTATAAGTTTATTTAAAAGTGGGGCAAAGTAAATCAATTCAAGTGTTTAAATTCAAAAGTTAAATTTATTTTGTTTATTAATAAATTGGTGGATTGACGGATCTGCTCATCAATTTTTTTTCTTTAAGTTTAATTTATTAATTTATTTATAATTTATTATTTTATTTATTTACAATTTAATTTATTTCTCTGTTCCCAAACTTTTATATTTAATTGATTTTTTATTTCATATGTCATTACATTCTAAATAATAATAAATACTTTTAAGAGTTATTATATAATAAAATATATAAAAAAATTAGTATTTTACTGAACAATAATAAAAAGTTTATTAATTTATTACTTTTTAATTCTAATGTCATAAATTATTGAGTTTTATGACTGTAGCTTGCTTCCACCGTCTATATAAGCAAAACAACTTGAAAACAAAATTTCCAATTTATGGCATTAAATGTAACTATTTTAATTTTTATCAATAAAGAAAAAAATGAGTGGATTGGCTTCTTCGACACATTGTTTAATTTTAATTCAAAATAAATTTTTTAATAAAAAGTCTGCGGGTAAAATCTCGGTACGGCCCTGTTTTGTTTTTAAAACGGGTTAGGCGTGACGAATAAACTTAAAGTATCGAGTCGAAAACTTTGGTCCGACTTGTTAAAAATGACGGGTCAAACGAGCTTGTCCAACCCGTTTTGCCATCCCTAGTCAAAACATCCACTACTACTGAATACATCTATCGTAACATGTTATTATCTTGATTATTCAATCGACCGAAGTGTGTCTCTTAATTTCTATAGTTATGTTAAAATTATAATAATTTTCACCATGATCCTTTTTAATAACCATAGTGAAAAATGGCGCGTTCACAAACTCGAAAAGAGTTTGTTTTTCACAAAGTTAAGTTCATAAAGAAAGTCACCATTTTTACAATCTCAAATACGTTTTATGTGAAATATATACATTCATTTATCTTCTATCTTGAAAATTTTGGCATTAAAGATCAATGTTAAGGTTCAAACTTATTGTTTATTTCATAAAGTGAATCTTAACATTAATTTTTAAGTCAAATTTTTCAATATACGGTATTAACTTTTGAGGAATGAAATATGCAAGTTAAAAGCATAATGACTTAGATTTAATAAAATGGTGAATGATTTGCTTGTTCAGTTTTATAGGAAAATCTGTAAATTGTGTCACCACGGTTGTATTTGTCAACCGTGGTAATATGTTTCTCTAAAATTAATAAGTTTCATTACGGTTGATCTTTTCAACTATGGTGAAATATGTTTCTTTAAAATTAAAACATAACAAGTTTTATTTTTCCTTCATAACACAAGTGCCCAGTGAATGACAGATGAACGCGACAGCGAATGAACAGGCAA